CGGTAATAAAGATACTTTTACTCCACTTACTCATCGTACCTTCAGATATTACACGTAATTGTATTAGTCGTGAGTGTAAGCAGGCTTAGATCGACTGATTGCCTGACTTACAGTGTGTCGTGATATTGTACACAATAAAATCGTGTTAGTGATATATATATATACGTGATAAATTTGAGACTGATTGGCGTAACTTTCGCTTTGTTCTGCACAGAACGTGACAGTACATTTAATTCGGGTTGGGTTAAGTTGACCTTTGCTCCACTATAATATGAACACAACACGTTTCATTAACAATCCTATCAAAACTGAATTTATTTCTGAAAAACTTTATTATACCTAATATATAACAGTAACAACAAATGTAAATTTGCTAAGTAAAAATAACGGTTTTGATTTTTTGATTTAAATTCGCAAAAATAAATGGAATTATAAATGTAAGTTTTGTCCTCTATGTCAAACATTATATTATAGAGACAGGAATATTATTGGCCAATATAGATAAAAGATAGTACTTACAATATTATCTATCCACTCAATATATTCTTTACACTATTTTCTTTACTAGTAAAAGAATTATCAACCTCCACTCTGTCCTTCATCAAGCCTACAATTATTCCATAACTTTTTTTACTTCTTTGTGAAGTTCAGTATCATCACTCAAAGCCTTATTACCAATTATTATCGGATAACTGTCCGAGAGATATATATTATTTGGTGTATACATTAAGAAAAACCATTCTTTGGCTACAATTTAAAAAATTATAATTAAATATTTACGTGAATTATAATTTCTTGATAAAACTCATAATGCCATAAATATAATCAAAATAATTTTCAAAATCTCTGACTATTTTTTGCTTTTTGTTCCAACGGGAAGGCATTATGAAGATGTATATTTAAATACATAATCAACTTCATCTAATGCTTCTACACCAACAATTTCCAACTTTGGATATAATTTAATTGGTTTCTTGGTAATTTGTAGAGACTCTTGTAATATTAGATCAACATTTTTAGAATGTACAGTCGGAAAGTAACGCCCGATTTTTTATTAAAATAAAAATTCCGATATGTACATAATTTATTCTATTTCTATATTATGTACATAAAGCTTTTTTTTTTTTAACTAACTAATACTTAGTTGGCCCTCACTTTGCATCCAATGCTGTTTCAATTCTTCGTGGCATTGAGTCCACAACCTTCCTAAGAATTGATCATCAAATTTTATCATCTATAGTTTTTGAAAAAAAAATTTTTCTAGATATTATCCTTTAACAATTTTCAGATGTTTTTCTATAGTGTTAAGGTCAGAGAATTTGCTGGCCAGTCTAACGTTTTAATTTTTTTTTGGTCTCAAACCATTTTACGGGGGGTTTTTTTGCAGTATGGATTGGACAATTATCCTGTTGAAACAACAGTTTTGGATGTTATTTTAACCATAAAAAATCATTATATAACATTCATACAGTCATAAAGAATAAATTTGAGAGAAAAAAACACAAGAAAAAGGAATTATTTGTGAAAGCATTGCACATTGTTACATCAGAAAATCGGGCGTTACTTTGCGACGCGAAATTTTAGGACAAAAAATTTTTACATCTTTGGAATTATATTTGTTATTTATTTGCTTCATTAAACTATTTAAATTTACTTTTAAAGATATGAAAAATCAAAAAAGAATCAAACAGCTATTTAGAATAAATTATAATAGAAAACAAATAGAAAATCATTTAGCTAACTAATACACCGCTTTGTTCCTAATGATAATTAAACGATGCATATAAAAAACCAACGAACCCTAATCTTTTATTAAGTATATATACAAATTCCTACTAAGGAACATGATAAAACCTGAAATTGATATACTTATTTTTTATACTGAATTTGTCTACATATGTTGAATGATTAAAAAAATTGACGAAATTTTTGGTACAAATTGGCTTTAGTCTATTTGCGTATCAGGTTCAATGCCATCGAACACAACTTCCACCAGGCTGAAATGATGGAGGGTGAACTAAATTATGTCATTGGTAAGCGCATGAAAAAATCGATTATAGGCATTCATCAAGCTTGTCAACAACAAGCAGGTTGCCGAAGCACTGCTACAGGCCAATGTTTTCTCATATGACCCGAAAAGTGGAATCGTCACCTTTCAGTCTCATGCAACAGAAGTTTTTGTGGAGGAAATTTCTCTTTGAAAGAAATTAGCTATGTTTTTTTTTGCTATATATAATTTTATATTTTTTATATTTATATTTTCATGACTGTGAAGCTATGATAGTAATATCAAATAAAGTTCTCCCGAATTACGTAAAGTTATTTGGTAATCATTTGATTCTAAACGTAAAATTATTTTGTGGAACGTCGACATTTTGTTTTGTTATTTTATTGAATTTTTTTATTTTATTTTTTTAGGATTGATTAAATTTTTAAATTGCAAACAAGATAATATAACGATACTATATTTATTAATAACAGTTAATAGTAATAATTCATTGCAAATAATAGAAATGGATAGTCTTGGAAATCATAAAATTGACCACGAGTTGCAAAACATGGCGCGTGACGTAATGGCAATTTGTGGGGAGCGAGACTTCGAAAAAATTCTTGTGGATTTACAAAAAACGCGTAGTGTTGAAATAACTCTCAATCGTATTCTTGATGGTAATGTAAGTAACTTCATTGTTCATAAAATGAAATAATAAATGAATGATTAATTTAATTATAATTCAAATTTATTCATTTATAGTTTCTCGAGGGTACAAATTTAAATTTATGTTCTTCCAAAGAAAAAGAAGATCTCTCTTCACTTTCAATAACAAATCACAGAGTTACAACATCTATTGATTTGAGTAAAGGAAACATAACAAGTAAGTATATCCGGTATCAATTCACTACTATAACACTTTTTTTTTTTAATTACTTCTTTATTTATTAAGTTTCTATACTAAACATGTTACTAAAAAAGAAGAAAAAGGAAAAAAAGGAAATGAAGATAAAAATAAAGATTATGAAGATTATGAAGATTCGACTTTGTCTCAAACATCTTCAATTTATTCAAAAGCAAGATCTTATTTCAATAACACTATAAGTCCATTAAATTGGGCTACAAAAGATGATTTTGATGAATTTGAAGAAATAGTTGATTTGACAAATGGAAATGTGCCATCATCATCATCAAAAAATGAACATTTAAAAATAAATTTAGAAACTTACCCGAAAAAAAATTCAAAAAAAAAACAAAAATCAGAATTATCAAATAGTGAAAAGCAATCAACCTTCCGTGCCAAAGAATTAGAGAAATTGGAACGTCAACGTCAAAAGGTAAGTTTTGTTTCTTCAACCAATTTGTATAATACTCATTAAAACATGTTCTTTTTCCCCCCAACAGGAGGAACAAAAAGCTGAGAAACAGAAACAAAAACAATTTCAACAAGTCAACAAGTTAAAATATGATAAACAAGAAATGACAAAAGAATTGATCATTGATATTGAAAATAATTTAATGGAGGAACCTTTAGGATCTTTATTAAGAGAGATATTAGAATCAAAGTTGATAATAATTAATGTATTTCAACAGCAACGTGACCAACAACAACAAAATGTTCGTGATGACAATGATGTTCCTGATGTTTACAAAATTATTAAATGGAGAAGAAAAGTTAAAGCGGAATGGAATGAAGAACTTGATGCTTTTGTACCAATTCCCGAAATAATTAAAGAAGAAAAATACATTTTAATTTATTTCGAAATTCAAGAATTTATTAAACTTATAGAGGAAGATATTTTACACAAAAAGATAAATAATTTGCAAAGGATATTTAATGAAAAACAACTAGTTATATTGATTGAAGGGTTTGATGGTTATTTCCGGAAAATAATGACAAGACGCAATCGCGTGTTTACGAATGCAGTAAGAACGGCAATTGAAGAAGATAATGATGATGATGATGATGATAATAATAATAATAATAGCAACGTTGATAATGATGAGAATGGAAGCACATTGAAAAAAAAAGAGAAATATACAAAATCAAAATCCAAATCCAAATCCAAATCTATACGTAATCAAGGACCGGATATTGACAAAATAGAAGAGGAATTAATTTTTTTACAACTTATTGACAAATGTTTAATTGTACATACCAAAGATATTGAAGAAACCGCCGAGATGATTGGAATTCTTTCTTCGGATATTGCAACAATTCCCTACAAGTAAAATTATCTCATTTTTTTTATTATTATATTTAAATTTACTCGTATTATTTTGTATTATTGTTATTTTATAAGATATTCTTTTTTTTTTTTATAATAATTAATAGACATAATAATGGGAATTTTAATTTTTGGGTGGAAAATCAAATCCGAGCTGGTAAAGATTGTAGCGATACATGGTTACGCATGTTGCAAGAAATTCAACAAGTTACTCAACCTGTTGCCAAAGGAATATTGAATATATATCCAACAGTAAAATCATTATACGAAGCATATGAAAGATGTAGTAATCAAGAAGAAGCAGAGAATTTATTAAATGAAGTTGAGGTCGTTAATAATCTATTTCAATATTTATTTCAGTCTTTATTTCAGTATTTATTTCAGTATATATTCTAGTATAATGATTGACAGCAGTAATTATTGACATTTTGATCATTTTGATTATATACAGATTCCAAGCACAGGTTTAGGAAGGCGGAGTAGGTACGTAAACAAAGCGGTATCAAAGAGAATATATGAAATATTTATGGGTAAAGATGCTGATGTAATTATTTCATAATTTTATAATTTACTATTATAATAATAATTTTTAATATATTTCATATATATATCGTTTGATATTTTAAATATTTTATTAAATACGTGTGTCTTTGCATTTGATGTTATAAACCTTTTAAATATTATTATAAATTCTTTAAATAAACTTTATTGTTATAAACTTTATCACTTTCTTTTTAAATAAACTTTATTACTTTTTTAATAAAATATGTATACAGTACTTTATTTAAATTATTGAGTATAATAACGAGAAATACATAATGCGAACATCATACACTTCGCGTTACAAAGAAAAATTCACACAAACGCGGGTAAAAGCCCACCAGCAGGAAAGACACTGGTCTATCATAAAAAAAAAGTTAGTATTCGCACCTGCTATCCTTGTTTCGTCGTGTCTAAAAAAAAACAATAGGTTAAACATATGTTATTATTTTTTTTATCTATAAATATAAAAACGAGTGGACAAAGTAAAATGAAAAAAATGAATGAAATAAACAATGTTTAAATATAGATGATCCGATGCGACGTGTAACAGGATATGTCAAATTTGTCAGAATGCGTAATTTGTACATGAATTCATGTGACATTGGGACGTTAATAAAGGTAAAAATTCGATATCTTTACAATTATTACGATCCTTTCAAAATCAATTATTATTTATTATTCTAACAAAAAAAAAACGAATAAAGTTCATAATATCTAACATGAGAAAATACTTGTTCACAACTTTCTTATGTTATTTATGGTAAAATCGAAACCATTTTTTTTTAAAAAAAATTTTTAAAGTTATAATCCCGTTATAAAAATAATATAATAATAATGAAATATTTAATTATTTCTAGTCTTTTTACTTTTTATACTTTAGCAGCAGTTAATTTAGACTCGTTGAATATGAGAGAATCATCAAGCACAGAGATACCAACACCCACTCAAATTCAACATGATTCTAGTGAAATAACTATACCTCCCACAAAAGGTCATAATGATTCATGTCAATTAACTGAAGATTGTAGTTGCCATGTGATCGGGGAATGTGAACCTTGTGATGAGAATGAATTGGTAATTTCTAATTAAATTCCCTAATTAAAATTCTAATTGATCTGTTGAACTTGTTGAACTTATTTATTAATTCAAAAAATTAATAAATATAATTTTAATTGAAATTAGGCAGAGAAATATTGTATTAATTATGGAAATAAAGAACCTATAGAATGTCAGTGGGTAAACAACAATACAGATCATACAGGAATATCATTACCGAAATTTCAATCATGTAGGCGGGTTAAAAAAGTGGAGAGAGCTAAATATTTTGAATTTCAGGTTCGATTTATTAAAATATTAATTTAAAAATATTTATTTGTTATTTTTTATACAAATTTAATAATTACAATTTTGATAATAATAATAATAATAATAATAATAATAATAATAATAATTTTATTTATAATTTTAATAATAGTTTGTGAATATAGTATTCGCATTTTTATCATGTACACTATTATTTTATCGTCGACGAAAACTTGCGGCTGATAGTTATAGAAAATTAGTTGGTCGCATTGGTAGCAACATGTTATAATAATAACAATAATCATAACAACAATTCAACAAAAATAATAATAATAATAACAATAGCAATAATAATATATCTAAAAATATGGGGTAGAGAATTTTTATTATTTAAATAATAAAACATATATAAAAATATATAATATACAAATATATATAAATCAAATATACAAAATATATAAAATATTTAATATAAAAAAAAAAAAAAAAAAAAGATTTTATACACCAAGAGCAACCGGCAAAGTTTCACCACATGGACCTATACTATTTTACGAATGAAAATCAATTCATTATTCAACATTATTCAAAGTTATTCAAAGTCATTCAAAGTTATTCAAAGTTATTATATTTAAAAAAAGACGATAACTCACAATTGAAAATCGGCTTTTCCCACTTTTTCAATATTGAATTGAGCAACTTTACCTCCTCGAGAAGAAACCCTTGTTACATATCCCGCAGCGGGATAAACAATTCCACTAGTTCCAATTACTAATAATAAATCACATCTTTTCAATTCGAATTCAATAATTTTTACAATATCTTCATTAAGATTTTCTTCAAACCAAATAACATCCGGTCTTAATAAACCTTTTTTGCATTTTAAACATCGGGGTAATTTTTCAATAGGAATATTTGAATCCAGATTTGAATATTCCGTTCCTTTTAAAGCTGGAACAATTGGGGAATCCCGATTTTTTTGAATATCCCCACATTCAATACATCGGGTTTTAAATAACGATCCATGAATTTCTACCAAATTTTTAGTTTCGGAAGAAAGGCCATCAACATTTTGAGTGAGAACTATAAAAGTTTGATTTCCTTCTTTGCCTTTTTGTTGTTGTGATGAAATTTTATTTTCGAAATCTCTTAGAGCCTTGTGAGCCTTGTTAGGTTCCGTTTTTAAAACCAATTCACGACTTTAAAATAAAATAAAAAAAAATAAATTAATTATCTATAGTATTACCTAATAAGTAAATTCTATGTATTAAAATTTACCGATAATGATAGAATTCCCATACTCGTGAAGGATTCATTGCGAATGACTTAATGAAAATAGGATTAAGATAGTATAAATATAAAACTATTAAATATTTTAAAATATATAATAATATATATATATATATATAAATATATATTGCACCGTTGGTGTAGCAAGAGACATTGCGTCAAAAGTTCTCCATAATCCACCTTCTCCACGAAACGTCTATTATTAAATATTTATTGTATTATCAATTATCAACAAATCATCAAAAATCATCAAATATATAAATATATAAATATATAAATATATAAATATACAGGTACACCCGATTCCGCGCTTAGACCAGCTCCACAAAGTGCCACTATATGTTTAGAGGCTTGGAGAACTGGGTGAAAAAAATAATAAAAATAATAGTTTTTTTTAATTTAATTTATTTATTTATACTGTATATAATAACCATATGATATAAATATAATATTAAATTATATATCTCTCTCATGTTTTTAATTTAATTTATTTGTTTAAAAAAAAAAAAAACCTTTTTGAAAACGTTCTAACGTTGTTGACGCGATAGAAGCAGTAGCCATATTTACTTTTAAGTGCTATTCCAAAAAGAAATTTTCTCGATTTTCGATTTTATAAATGTTTTTTTTAAAAAAATTCATGTGTTTTCACGTGATGCCGAAAATATGATAAACAAAAATAAAATAAATAAAATAAATGAATAATTTGGTAAATGAAATTTTTTTTTCTTTATTTTCCTAAAAGTGAAAAAATGAAAAATGACAAAAAGGAATGGAAATAACAAATTTTCCTATACACACAGAGAGAGAGATATATATATATGTATACTTTGAAAGAGAGAGGACCGAATATATTAATTTAATGACGAAAGAGAACCCTGCAGTATTTATTATTATTATTATTATTGTTATTATGCATATCTATTAACAAAAAATAACACACAGACACGCATACAACAAAAACACTACCAATTTCTACCAGTACATTGTATATAAAAAATATACTGTATTTACTTTTTATTCTTTTTTATTCCTTTTTACATTTTTTTTTTTTAAATGAATGCAGTAAGTGACAGTGTATAAGATTCTAAGATTAACCAAAACAACAACAACGGTAACAAGATTTATTTTAAAAAGATTATCGGCATTAGTAGTAACGTCAAGAAAAAAAAAATATTTATTAAATATTTAAAATATATATATATTTTTTTTTTTGCGGGAACAATTTCATAACGTTTTTAATAAACATTTTATAACACATTTTATAACACATTTAGGACATTGTGAAATGCAATTTGTAAATCTCACAATTATTAAATAATTTTTTTTAATTTTTCTGAAACATTTTTTATTAAGAATTTTCAGAATTAAAATTTAAAAATTTACAAATATAGTCACAAGCAGGATAATTTTTTACATAGATGTGTATATATATAATAAATATAATAAAAATAATAACAAAGAAGATATAAACGGAATATATACGGAATACAAATAGCATTGAAAAATATTGGTTGCTCTAAAATATAAATACAGGAAAGACAACAAGATCATAACAGGTCAATAACTGGTAATAAAAGAATGAAAGAATATATTATATAATAATATTATTATATAATGAGATTAATGATAATAACGATAACAATAATAATGATTATTATTATTATTTATTATTAAAAATGATTAAAATAATTATTAAAAAAAGAAAATAAAAAAAAAAATTAATATTGTCAAAACGTAAATGAATGTTTAATGTATAAAATTGTACTAAACTGAATTGACTGATTAAATGAATAATCTATCAGAAGAATTGATTTTCGATTTCACCGCAGCTTATCACGTTAATTAATTAAAGTATATATATTTAGTATGAAAGATTTTTTTTTCGATTAATCTATTCTAAAATTATCAATTTTTTTTTAATTGATTTTCGCGCGGTTCTTTTTTTTCGAATTTTTTATTTTCAATTTTTATTGGTGTTTTTAATTAATAAAAAAGGTTATTACGGTGGGAGTACAAAGATTACAAAACAAGGAATTACTTACAAAACAAGAAAATTACAAACAAACAAAAAAAAAAATAGATTAAATAATGATGATAATTAAAAGTAATAAACTCTCATCATTTTCTTTAATTATTTTATTATCAACTTGTTTTCTTCAATTATTTTCTTCAATTATTTCAATTATTTTAATTATTTTAATTATTTTATTTTATTATTAATATATTTATTACTGTAATTCCAATAATAACTTATTCAATAATTTATAATCATCATCATCATTGATTCATTTATCGATTAAATTATTATTAATTGTTTGAAATTACCGTAATCGTACACAATATATAAAAACCTTATAATTGTATTTATTTTTTTTCTCTTACACCATGACACGAAGATCAGAAATTAGAATAGAAATGATATATAAATTAGAGAGAAAATTTAGAAGATAGTATATGCGGAAGTATGCGAGGATAGTCTGTATATTTATATAAAAAACATTTATATACATATTTATACACATATACGATATTTTGTCGATATTTGTGATATTTGATAGTCTCAATACATAAACATAATATATTGAACTGTGGTAGTGCTTAGTGCTGCGTAGTCTGAAATATGTTTGAAATATGTTTGGAATAGTTTGGGAATAGTTTGAATAGTTTGAAATATAGTCTGAGTGTAGTGTAAATAATATGTATCAAATATTATCAAATATTCAAAGTATATATAATCAACATTGAATATTACAAATACTATAAATATTAATGATTGTAGAAACTACATTGACTATACATAAACTATACATAAACTTGCGCATAAACTACAATAACAATAATAAACTATAAATATCGAAGAAATAATATATTGATATGTATTGATTATTATAAATATAAATATAAATATAAATATAAATATAAAATATAAATAAATAGTAAATAAATAAATAAATCAATAAATAAATCAATAAATAAATCAATAAATAAATCAATAAATAAATCAATAAATAAATCAAATAAATAAATAACGATTAAAAATTTTAAAAATTTCTCATCAATCAATCAAACATATCAACGTGTATAAAATAGTATAAAATGGTTACAAAATCTAACCAAGTTAGATATGTGGAATGTAATGTAGAATTATGTAAAAATCTGTAAAAATATGGTAGAACATGCTAAAACATGTAAAGAAATATGTAAAGAGATGCAAAGAAATGATAAACGTAGTATTAACTGGATATAAAAGTACATAAAATACATAAAATAAGATGTATTTGGGATGGATATAGGATATAAAGTTATGGATGGTGGTAAAAAGAACACAAACAATCACGCTTATCATACTTGCTGTATTATGCTTATTATGCTTATTATACTTTTTCTCAAATATTTCAACTATTTATTAACTTTTAATAAATTTCATCCAATTAGGATTTAACTAATAAAAATATTTAGGGGTTCATGCATTCACTATGTGCATACGTATTCTAAATTTGGTTTATCCTTCAAAGTACCAAACTACCTATTTATTTATTTCTGTTATTATTATTATTTAATTTCTTATTTATTTATCTGTTATTATTATTTATTATTATTTATCTGTTATTCTATTTATTCTTCTTGTTAATTTTATTTTATCTGTCCTGTCTGTTATTTATTTATTTATTATTTATTTATCTGTTTATTACAAAATATTTAAAAATATTCAAAATTTTCAAAATTTTCAAAAATATTCAAACTATTCAAATTATTACAATTTTAGACAATTTTTAGACGAAACTATTTCAATTTTAGATAAACTTTTTCATTTGGGTAAGTAATACGTTAATCATTATTATTATTATTTTTAAAAATAAAATCACTTTTATACATAGTTGTTACATATTCCATTATGATATAAATCGTACGTAATTTATATATCGCAATTTACTTGTTTCTTTTTTTTCTTTTTTTTCTTTCTTCTATCCGTAAATCGTAAAAAATTTGTTTACTATCTATAAATAAATAAATAAATAAATTAATCATATAATTTAATCATATATAAATTAATATTAATCCATTATATTAATTATATTAATTGTATTATAAAGTAAAAATATATTGCGAATGTAAATAATATAAATAAATAAATACATAAATAAATAATATATACATACATATATAATAAAATAATTATATAAAATCCAATATAAAAAATAATATTTCTATTATAAAAAAAAAATAACATATATATATATATATAACAAAAAATACTTAAAAAACTTTAACATTTTTAATTACATATTCATATACGCCTCCTCCCCAAATTGAGAAGTGAGAGAGTGTTACGAAAAACCAAACTCCATCATTTCAGATTCTCTATAAATATCATCCATCCATCCATCCCTCGTTTTTTTTCAAAAATTGGTTACTCCTTTTTTTTTACTATTTGTCATTTTGGGTTTTTCGAGGTACAACGACAAACATTAAAAGTTCATACATTTACCACACACCATATATACATACATATATATATAATAAATAAATAAATATAAAATAACTTTGATTTCATTATTCTAAAATAAATTTCTTTATAAATACTGCCTCCATTCTACCAAACAAATTTTTTTTTTTAAAAAAAAAATTTTTTTATTAATTTTAATAGTTTGCAAAAAAAAAAAAAAATTAATAAATAATAGTAATTATCGTTAAATAATAATAATAGTAATTTTTATTTAAAATCATCACAAGTCATCCTCCAAAATCATCACAAAGATTACGAAGTGAAGTGAAGCGAAGCGATATTTCTGAATATTTATCTGGGCGAATATAATAATAATCGTAATAATAAATATTATATATATATACACATATTAATTATATATATATAATGTATTAAATATTATTTTTGTTTATATAATACATAACATACAATTTATTATTTTATATATATATATATAAATACATTTTTTTTTGTTTAATATATTTGTAAAAAGAAAATATTACTTTCATGACTCAGGAACGTGCAAGCAATAACAATAGCTATGCGTTCGTATTAGAGGATCCTTCAAAACCAAGAAAATATCAGCTCAATTTTAATTTGGACACAGAATATATAAAAGAATCGACAACGACGACGGCAACATCAACTATGCATCATCATCATCATCATCATAATCATAATCATAGTAATAATATACCACCACCACCACCACCACTAACACATCAACAACAATTACAATTACATCAACTACATCAACAACAGCAGCAACAACAACAACAACATCATCAACAACAACAACAAATGATGGATCAACCGATATCGCATTTACACCATCATCAAAATCTTCATAATAATAATTTACAATCATCATCACAATTATCACAACCACCACCACCACCATCAACAATGCAACAACAAAGACAACCAACATCAATTACTCTTCCCCCAATAAGAGAATTAATTCAAATTTCTCCTTCAATTCCACCTTCAATTCCACCTTCAGTTCCTCAACAACAACAACAACAACAACAACAACAACAACATCATCAACATTTACTACAGCAACAACAACAACATCATCATCATCATAATCTACAGCAACCACCACATCATTCACAACAACAACAACAACAACAGCATCATCATCATCATCATTCACAACATTATCAACAACAACAACAAGAATCTTCAATATCTTTATCTTCAAGACCTCATTTACCTCCCCTGATAGAGAATAATTTAAATTCCTCTTCTTCCTCTTCTTCTTATAATTATCCCGCGACAACTTACAATAACTCAATTAATCCAATGCAAACCGATAATAAAAATGATCACCGTATAATTAATGATAGAATGGATCATAGAATGGATCATCATCAATCGAATTTCCAACAGTTATCTGATTCTTCATCTTATCAACAACAACAACAACAACAACAACATCTTCATCATCATTCACAAAATTATTCTTCATCTCAACCACCACCACTACCACTAAACAACAGCAACAGCAATAATAATGATAATTTTACAAATCATCGTCATCCCGTACCACCACCACAATCACTTGTGAATCAACCACCAGAATATGTTAATCATCATCATCATTACCAACAACAACAACAACAACAACAACAACAACAACAACAACAACAACAACAACAACATCATCATCACATCTCTCAACCACCACCACCACAACAATTATCAATTAATAATCAAATTCCATATCATCACCATCATCATCTTCAACAGTCATCACAACCACCACCACCACCACCACAACTTAATCATAATCTTCATCATTCTCATGTCACTCAACATCCTCCACCACCTCCATCTCATTCACATCATCTTCGTTCTCCTCCTTCTTCTTCCACAGTTCAACCACAAACTTATCAATCTAATGTATATAGCAACAACAATAATAATATTGAAGCATTACCAGGAAGAATTCAACATGAATCTCAATCTATTTCTTCTGCTGCTAATTCTCGTATAGGCTCACAACATAATCGTCAATCATCATATTATTCATCACAGATTTATCCAAGTAGTAATATTAATAACACTCAACCACCACCACCACTACCACCATCATCATCATCTTCTTCTTCTCATCATCACCATCATCATCATCAACCACCACCACCACAACAATCATTACCTATTCCTCCACCTGATCAATTACCAAATAGGTCCATTGTTCCAATTGTTGATAATTATCGTTCTCAAGATAATAGACATTATTTAACAAGAGAATCATCAATGTCAACAATGGATCCTCCACCACCATCGCATTTACATCAATATGCTAATTCTCAATCATCACCACCATCATCATCATACAAATCAAAAGGTAAACAACCTGATATTTTGAATCATCCTCAATCCATACATTCTACACCACATTCTACACCACATTCTACACCACATTCTTTACCACCACCACAATCTTTACCACCACAATCAATTCCACAATTATCACCACCTCAACAACAACAACAACAACAACAACAACATCATCCTCATCATCCTCATCATCATATTTCAAGTGATCCTCGTGAAACTTCACCTTATTATTTAGCTCCACCTCCTTCACATCATCAATCAGGAAGTAATTCTTCAGTTTCTACTAGATCATCTTCACCTATTCCAAATACTCCAGTAACCAATCTTAATCATGCCTCTGCCAATATTAATAATAATACTAATATTATTATTAATAATAATTTGGTTCCACCTCCTCCTTCGTCATCATCATCTCATATTAATGATAAACCTATCGAACAAACAAAAAAGCGAGGTCGTTCTCAAAAACCAAGATTAATTGTTCCAGCTGGTCCTTTACCAAATAATCAACAATCGAATACTTCTACTAATAATAATAATAATAATAATAATAATAATAATAATATAAATAATTCTCAAATTCAATTACAACAACAATCATCAATACCATCGTCATTGCAACAACAACAACCACCACCATCATCATCGGTGGTTACAACAACAACAACAAATGATTCACCAGTATTTGTACAATATGTTCCATTAAATAATGGTAATAATTCAACCGATTCAGGTAGTACTCAAATGATTACTCAAAAATTATTATCATCATCATCACAATCAACTAGACCTCGAAAGAATAGTAACGCCGCTCCTGTGGCTGCTGCTGCTGCTACTGCTGCCTCTGTTACTTCTTCCACTACTACTACTACTTCTAGTGGTGTACCTTTAACAACCACTTCTACCATTTCTAAACGTACAAGAAAGCAAAAAGATCAACATGTTTATATTCCAAAATCAGAAATTGATAATAATAATAATAATAATAGTAATAATAATAATAGTAATGGTAATAAGAGCAATAATAAAAAGGGATTGAATATATCCACAGATTCTACCATCTTAAATAATAATAATATCAAAAATAATAATAAATATAATAATTTAAGTCGAAAACGTGATCGTTACACACCCACTTCTCCAATTTCTCCTAATGATATAAAAAGGCACAAACAAGATGATAATAATAATAATGATGTTGATGTGACGATGGAAGATGCATTTGATTCGAAAAATAAAAATAATAAAAATAACAACAACAACAACAATAATAATACATTGATGAATAAAGAACCGGTTGAAAGAGAAGAAAGGAAAGAACGGAGAGAAAGAAGAGAGAGAAGAGAAAGAGAGAGAGAAGAAAAGATTAATAATAATAACAATGAAATTGTTCACATGGAAACAGATTTGGTGGAAGTTGATAAAAAAGAACAGGATACTGCTTATAGTTTATTATCGCTCATAGATAATAATAAAAATGTGGTAAAGGAGAAGAATAATGATAGTGTTTTAGATATTGTGGAAATTAAAGAAGAAGAGGAGGAGAAAATTGAAAAAATGAAAATAGATTCAATAGAAGAAAGTTTGGTGGAAACAAAGGTTCGAGAATTATCTCTTCAAGAAGGTACAAATTCTATTATCGTTAAAAAAGAAGAGAAATCATTATCAACCAAGAAATCTACTAAAGATGAAGAAGAAGAAAAAGTTGATGATAATAAAGTTAATAATGATGTACAAATAAAATCCACTGCTACTACTACTACTACTATTAATAAAAAAGATTTTGGGAGTGGTAAAAATATTAAGAATAATAAAAATAAAAATAAAAATAATAATAATAATAAAAGTATTAATAGTAAAAATAATATTCCAACAAATCGTGTTATAACTCAAATCAAACGAGAACAATCTATTACCACAACCAAAATAATATCTGATGATAATATGGGTAATGATTCTGATAATGATTTAGCTATGGATGATGGATCTGATGAAGAAGAAATTTCATCATCATCCTCTAAACATAAAGGTCTTCCATTACCACCACCACCATCATCATCATCATCACTTCCACCATCATCGTCATCATTATCATCATCCTCGACTGTTCTTAATAATAATAATAATAATAATAAAGAAGATCTTCAATGGAATAGCGATGATATGGAAACTGAAGAAGAAGTAGAGGAAGAAGTTGAAATATTTCCTAATACTTCTACAATTTTAGAAGATGATGACAAAATTATTTGTTCTTCACCTTTATCTAAAACCAATAATGATGATTTTAAAACCATAATATCTGGTTTAACAACGTCAGCCACCTCAAAAACATCAACATCATCATCACCTGTAGCAAGTAACACATTTACAGGACCATCTTCAATGAAGCAATCATTTCCTTCTTCCCCTATTACTATTATTACACGTAAAGGTTCAATTTCAGGTTCTGCTTCACGCAAAGGTTCTATTTCAATTAATAGTAGTAATAAGGAAAAAGACAATATTGATACTTCTGCCACTTCTACTATCAATTCTACTACCACTTCTGTTGCTATCGCTACTGCTACTACTACTGCTACTACTGCTACGACCTCTAACACTAGCACTACAAATACCACTAATACAAATACAAATACAAATATAAATACAAATACAAATGGAACAGTTAGATCTCGACCTTGCCCACCTAGACGTAGATCAACCATGAGAGATGATGAAAAATTAGAATTAGATGCAATTGAATGGGAAAAGAATATTGAAATCCCTCATCATATTTGGGAAGAAACTTTAAGAGTATTTGAGATCGTGAAACATTCCAAAGAGATGAAAAATCGTCAACCTCATCGTAAACGTAATCATATTCTCGCCTCAATCTTATTTATCCTTTGTCGTCAAAATGGTTTACCTCGTACCTTTGTGGAAATTTGTAATGCCGCTTCCATTAGAAAACAAGAGATTGGTAATTATTATCGTTTAATGCAAAAAGTTTTTGAAAATAATGGATTAGGTAGTAATTCTAATGGAATTGTTGATTCGGCTGAATATTTGGTATTTATTTAAAATTTATTTATTTAAATTTATTTATTATTTATTTATTAAATGATTTTATTAATAATTAATTTATTTATTAATTTATTTATTTATTAATTTATTAATAATATTTATTTATTTTTTTTTTAATTTTATTTTATTTTATAACATTTATATTAGAAACGATGGTGTAATAATTTAAAACTTCCATCTCATATCCTTGATGCAGCAATTCATGTTTATAAACAAGCCAGTGAATTAAATATTACCACAGGGAAATGTCCAGTTTCAGTGGGAGCCGCTTCAATTTGGTTATCAATTGCTTCTTGGAATGAAATTCGGATGTCAAATTATTCTGCAAGTGATGATCACGAACAAATTAAATGTGAACTTAAAGATGTGGCTACAGCGGCTGGGGTTGTTAATGCTACTTTAGTTGGTTGTTTTAAAAATCTTTCAAAATATAAAGATCAATTATTACCAACGGAATTTTTACAAGAGGCCAAAAATAGATCACCCAGTCTTCATAAAAAGAATGAGAATTTGGAAACTACTAATATTACTAATATTACAACTCCAAGTAATACGATTAATACGACGAATAATATCACAAGTAATGTAATAAATAATACTAGTAATACGAGTAATTTAACAAGTAGTAATGAAACAACAACAATTGCAACGACAGCAAAAAAAATATCAGCAACAACAACAACAACAAGTAATATAACATTAACAAATAATAATACTTCAACAACTGTAACAAGTGATGATGATAATAATAATGTTAAAAATGAATGTCATGATGATAAGAAAATGACATTCTTTGGTGCTCCTTCATTGGAAATTCTTAAAGTTTACGGCGATGAAGATGAAAATGTTGATAATGATAAACCAACAGGTTTGTTATTTGTTTATTATTTTTTTTTTTTTATAATATAAATAAATAAAAATATTTTTATATTCATTCTCTCATTTTATTTTATTATTTTTAATTATTTTATAGTTGAACCATCACCATCGCTACCACCACCACCACCACCATCATCACTACCACCACCACCATCACTACCACCACCACCACCACCATCATCATCATCATCATCATCATTCTCTCTTCCTCCAATAACAGTAATGACGACAATCAAAGAAGAAGAATCTACGACAACAACTTCTAAACAAAAATTAGAACCTACCATTTTGTCCTCCAGAATTTATAAAGTTGAAAATAATAATTCTTCAAAATCACCGATAGCAGTTGAAGTTGAAGAATCCCCACTTCCTTCCGACACTACCACCAACTCCACCATCGCCACCGCCATCACTACCACCACGTCCACACATCACAAAGAAAATAAATCAGAAACAGCAACAACAAGTGATAATATAATATCAAACGTCTCCGTAACCACTATAACATCACCACCATCTTCGTCATCTTCAATAATAAAAAAATCATCGCCGATATCAAAGATAATATCCAAGTCTCTTCCTGAAATTGATACTTCTCACGATGATGCGGATGATGAATTAGAAGAAGGAGAATTACGTGAAGAAGAAGACGATGATGATAATAATAGTAGTAATAACAATAGTAATAATAATAATAATAATAATGACAATAGTAATAATAATAATAATAATGGTGGTGATGATGTTGAAGATGATGATGACGATATGGTGATTGACCAAGATTGATCTTCCAATTTATTAATAATTACTTAAAGTTTTTAATATTTAAAAGTTTAATTTATTTTATATATATATATATATATATATATAGTAGTATAGTAATAGTTTTTTTAGTTATTATTATTATTTTAAATTATGATAATGAAAAAAAAAAAGTTTATTTTAAATTTTAGAATAAGTTGTGATTATTATTATAATTTTAGAGTTAAATAATTGTAATAAATAAATAAATAATTAATTAATTAAAAAATGTAATTAAATTTAAATAATAAAATATAAAAATTTTGTTGTCCGGAGGACTGTGTCATAGATCCCTTACGTATTTTATAAAATGGATTATTTAACGTACAATCTTAACCTGAACCGGGGGGGTCTAGACTCTTATCGTAGACCTCAGGGGTAGTATATTTATCACCGTGTGTCATACCCTTCGAATATCAATTTTTATTAAATATCCTAGGGACTTGAATATTATACCCTGTTGAGGTATGGCAGATGTAATCGATAATATGAAGGGAAAAGAATTATTTAACATATTAATGTACAAAAGACTAGAATTAGCAAAAAGTATTGTTAGAATAGAGGAACAACTAATTATAGATTAATTTATTAGGCAGTTTAGTAAATTTGCCACCATTGATGTAAACATATATTATAGATAGTAACAGCAAATATAAAAATTTTTGTCAAGCAAAGTTTAATAAAAAAAAAAAATAAAAATAAAGTTGGACATTTTTTTCGCATGTTTTGTGTAGTGACAATTGATCCAGTATTTATATATCCCAAATCTTGTGTGATCGCTTGTAAATATTTTATTTCAAATGTGGTGAAGGTTGTGGGTTTTTGTTCGCGCTTATAGTAATTCTTTAATCTGCTAATCAGATTTTGATTTTCAACCGAAATATTTGGGTATCCTTAATTTTTGTTGTGTAGACTAATATAAGAAATAGATTTTTGTTATTGCAAAATTTCGAATTCAATTCTTGGACCACGATTATTGCTATAGATCATATAAAATAAGATGAGTTTCATTGATTTGGTCCACTTTACGTAAGTGGAACATAACTTGAACGAAAAAAAAATTCAATCAAATCATGGCTCAATGTTTATTTGATTTATTGTTACTAATAAAATATGAGATATACAAGTAAAACTTTTCATAGGCCGAGCCCTACGGAACCCAGCTTGAGTTTTCAAAAATTGAGCCTGGCTCAGGTCCGGCCAGAGTTAGAAATTAAGGCCCGGCTCGGCCCGCGAAATACTATAGTAGAAAATCGCGTTTGACCATGTAAGTTTGTATCCCAAGTAAAGTATTTTAATAAAATTGTCTACGGACGATGATAACTCGACGAATATTGATGTTAGAAAGATACCATCTTTAGAAAACTCGAAACAAGAGTTTTTGAATTGCAATAGGAATAAAATTAATACATTGTCTTTGGACGGTAATAACTTGACGAATATTGATGATAGAAGAATGATTTAGCTGCAATCACAAAGCTTAAGAGGCGGGATTTTGAATGGCTATATAATACCTTAGTAGAAAATCGCTCCATATTGCATCAAATTAATCTAAAGTAAAAATAGAAACTTGTAAAACCTATAAGTTTGAATTAAACTTTATAGGCCTGCAAGCTTAGTGAGCTTATGGCCTGAGTTGGGCTCGCAGGCCTGAACTGAACTCACGAGCACGAGCCTTAAGGCCTGTGAGGAGCTTTATATACAAGTACCAGGTACATGTTTTTATTCCGCGATAAAAAATACATGAAATATAAATAGCTATCTATTTTCTTTGTGCGCTGTTATCCTATCTTTCAGTAATTTATTTAATTAAATAAATTAAATAAAAAAATTTATTTTTGTGGACTCATTTGCTTTTTTTTTTTCATCGTAACATCGTTAACATGTGTCATATGTAATAGTAATACAAATATTAATTTGTTATTTCGGATATTTTTTTATCAAAAAAAAAAAAAATAACGAAAATTCATTCATTATAAAGAAAATTCCGATTATATATGAAATTTGAGAATCACATGACTGAAATTAAATTTTTTCCTGATCAGTTTCGTATTTTTTTTGCGTTTTCGAGAATAAAATAAAATTTCGTGGAAATGGACGAATCACTATATGATGAGTTCGGTAATTACCTTGGGCCAGAATTACCCGAAAGTGAAGAGGAAGAGGAATCTCCTCATCCCATGCCCGAAGTTGAAGAGAGTTTTGGGGTCGAGGAACATGAAGATATAAATGAACCAAGCTTGGCTCTCATGGAGATTGACGGTCAGCAAAATAGACTGATTTTTTTTATTAACGATTAGATTATTTTCATTTTTTTCATTCTACTTTTGGCTTTAAACTCGTGTTTACATTTATTGATTAAACTGCGGATTTTTAATTTATGAAATGCGAGTTTAACCTTACACGTCTTTCATTATTGTTTATATTACATTATAAATTCAACTGATAGTTGGGGTTAACTTCTTACAGATATTCCTCAAAGTCAAGTCGTTCTTCATGAAGATAAAAAGTATTATCCAAGTGCGGAAGAAGTTTATGGACCTGAAGTAGAAACTTTGGTTCAAGAAGAAGATACACAACCTTTAACTGAACCAATTATTCAACCAATCAAAATCAAAAAGTTTCAAGTTCAAGAAAAAAATCTTCCAGATACGAGATATAAAAAAGAGTTAAGATAAAAAAAAGGAATCAAAGATAATTTTTAAATAAATAAATATATATATATATATATATATATATATATATTACTGTTATATTCAAATTCAATAAATCATTATTATTATTTATTTTATAGATTTTTGGTAGACATGATGAATTTTCCAGATTTTATTAGAAACATTTCCATCGTGGGTCATCTACATCATGGTAAAACCTCCTTTGTTGATATGTTGGTTAACGAGACCCATTCATCAGTGGCATGGGATGTAGATAAACAGGTATTTACATTATATTTTATTTTGATTCATTAGATTATATATATATATATATATTATTATATATTTTATTATAAATTTTATTTTATTATTTACAATGTTATTTTTAGGAACGTTATACAGATACTCATACATTAGAAAGAGATAGAGGAGTTAGTATTAAAAGTATGCCAATGACACTTGTTTTACAAGATTCAACGCCTAAATCATATTTGTTTAATATATTAGATACGCCAGGTAAAAATATTTTTTTAAAATTTTATAATATTTTAGAAAAATGATTTGATTTGATTTATTTAATTTGTCTTTGAAGGTCATGTTGATTTTGTGGATGAGGTTACTGCAGCACTCAGAATTTCAGATGGTGCAGTTATAATAGTAGATGCAATTGAAGGGGTGATAATCTTCATTAATTTACTAAATAATTTGCTGTGGAATAATTTGTTAATTTCGTATATTCACCTTTTTTTTTTTTTTAACAATTATAGGTTATGGCAAATACAGTACGAATCATAAAACATGTTATACAACAAAATTTGGCATTCGTTTTGGTGGTAAATAAAGTAGATAGATTAATTTTGGAATTAAAATTACCACCAAATGATGCATATTTTAAATTAAAACATACCATTGAAGAAGTCAATAGTATTATTAGCCAATGCGAATCAGGGAAAGATCTTCGCGTATCTCCCGATCGTGGAAATGTTTGCTTTGCATCTAGTCAAATGGGATGGTGTTTTACTTTAAAGTCGTTTGCAAAGTTATACGCGGATTCATATGGTAAGTTATTATAAAAATATTTATAGATATAGAAATATATATAGATAGATAGATATATATATATATAAATAAATAGATGGATATACATAGATAGATATATATCGTTAATAATTGTATATGTTTTATTTTTGGTTTAGGTAATTTGAACACTGAAGAATTTGCAAAACGATTATGGGGTGATGTATATTTTAATCCCAGTAAAAGGAATTTCAGTAGAAAAGGTTTAGAGAGCAAGAGTCAACGTTCATTTGTACATTTCATTTTGGATCCATTATACAAATTATATTCACAGGTAGATTTTATAATATAATTTTTTTTATAATATAAATGTAATTTATCATCATAATATTAAATATAATATTAAATATGATATATTTTTCTCAGGTCATAGGTGAAGATGAGATGACCCTCAAACGTACACTAGCATCATTGGGAATTTATTTAAAAGCCTCTCATTTTCAATTGGATGTAAAACCTTTATTACGAATAGTTTTAGATCAATTCTTTGGAACGGCTACTGGATTTGTTGAAATGATAGCTCAACATGTCCCTTCACCAGCAAACAATGCCATAAACAAGGTACAATATTTTTCAATTAATTAATTTTAATAGATGTATATCTATCAATGTTTATCCATTTTTAAGTTATATATATATATATTCTATGTGTAGGTAGAACAATCTTATACTGGACCAATGTATACAAATACTGCAGAAGCAATGCGTAAATGTGATTCAGATGGACCATTGATGATTTATATAACAAAATTATATAATTCATCTGATGCTTCAACATTTGATGCGTTTGGTCGAATAATGAGTGGGACTATAAAAAAAGGTCAAACTGTGAGAGTACTTGGTGAAGGTTATTCTATTGAGGATGAAGAAGACATGACAATCCAAGATGTTTCGAATATTTGGTTATTTGAATCTAGGTATTTTTATTATTATTATTATTTTTATATCAAATTGTATTTTTGTATTTTTGTTTAAAAAAAAGTGTGCTTGTCACTGCTGGTGATAGTCACCATTGGGAAAAATTAACAAATTTAGGGTTAGGGTTAGAATCAGAGAATTATGTAATTTTGCCCAGTGGTGACAATCACAACTGGTGACAAATAGATTTACTCTTTGTTTAATATTTTTTTTTAATATTTTTATTTATATATTTTCATTAATATTTTTATTATTATCATATTTTCTAAATAATAATAATAGATATAGAATTGAAATAGATGAAGCACCGGCTGGTAATTGGGTACTTTTAGGTGGAGTTGATAATTCAATAGTGAAAACAGCAACAATCACAGATAGATTTTCGGAAGAAGATAAATATATATTTCAACCTTTGTCTTTCGTTACCACCGCTGTTCTTAAAGTTGCCGTGGAACCTGTAAATCCATCTGAATTACCAAAGATGTTGGATGGGTTAAGAAAAATTAATAAAAGTTATTGTATATTAATTACAAAAGTAATATAATTCAATTCTATTTTTATTATTTTTTTTTATTTCAATGTTAAAATCAATTCATAAAAATTATTTTAATTCATAGGTTGAAGAATCTGGTGAACATATTATTCTCGGTACAGGGGAATTGTATTTGGATTGCGTATTACATGACCTTCGAAGAATGTATGCTGAAATTGAACTTAAGGTTTCTGATCCGGTTGTAAGATTCTGTGAAACAGTGGTAGAAACATCAGCATTAAAATGTTTCGCGGAAACTCCTAATAAAAAGTAAGATTAATTATTATAAATATATATTGTATTGTAGATATGTATTTATTTCTTTTCTTTTTTTGAAAATAGAAATAAGTTGACTATGATTGCTGAACCTTTGGAAAAGGGTATTGCCGAAGATATTGAGGCTGGTCGAGTGAATATTAAATGGCCAGTTAAAGATATTGCAAAATTCTTTGAAGAAAAGTATAGTTGGGATGTGTTGGCATCACGATCAATTTGGGCATTTGGACCCGATGATAATGGGCCTAATATGTTGGTTGATGATACATTACCTACCGAGGTTAATTTCATTTTATTTTATTTTTTTTGATTTCTAAAAGTAATAATTAATTAATTCAATAAATGAAATACTTTAATAAACAAATAATTAATTTAATATATATAAATATAATATATATTTATTTATTTTTTCATTATTTTTTTCATTACAGGTTGACAAAAATTTATTAAAAAGTGTTAGAGATTCAATGCGTCAAGGCTTTCAATGGGGAACACGTGAAGGACCTTTATGTGACGAACGTAATATTAATTTTTTTGGCCCAAGGAAATATTTTAAGGAAATAATTTATTAATAATGTTCGATCTTCTATTTCTAAAGCCATTCGTAATGTAAAATTCAGAATATTGGATACTGTTATAGCACAAGAACCTATATATCGTGGGGGAGGTCAGATTATTCCTACTGCACGACGTGTTTGTTATTCTGCATTCCTCACGGTTTGTCTTTTATTTTTTTTTTTAAATAATTGGAATATAATAATTATAAAATTTATTAAATTTATTAAATTTATTAAATTTATTATCTTTATTATCTTTATAGGCAACACCGAGATTAATGGAACCCGTTTATTATGTTGAAATTCAAGCACCAGCCGATTGTGTATCAGCTGTTTATACTGTGTTGGCACGGCGCAGGTATATATTAATTATAAATTGAAATGTTTATTTAAAATGATTAGATTTTTTTTTTGTTACAATTTACTGAACAAAAAATTTATTAAATTTATTTTCTAGAGGGCACGTAACTCAAGATATACCTAAGGCGGGATCCCCATTATATACGGTAAAGGCTTATATCCCTGTTATTGAAGCTAATGGATTTGAAACAGATATGAGAACACATACACAAGGGCAAGCATTTTGTCAACAAATGTTTGACCATTGGCAGGTAACATAAAAATTATTTCTTATGAAAATTCTAATATTGTAGTTATTTGTTATAATATGAAACTAAAATATTTGGAAATAATGATAGATTGTTCCAGGTGATCCATTGGATAAAAGTATTGTTCTTCGTCCTTTGGAGCCTAGTCCAGCTCAACATTTAGCACGAGATTTTATGGTCAAGACTCGAAGGAGAAAGGGATTGTCTGAAGATGTATCCGTTAGTAAGGTATGTAACAGATTAATGATATATGAGTGTGTGTGTTTATGTGTGATCTATATTATGTTCTACACTGGTAACTAATTTTATTATTCATCTCGTCAATTTTTTAGTTCTTTGATGATCCATTATTGCTGGCAATTGCCCAATCAGATGTTCTTGGTGGATATGCGCTATAATATACAGATGTTTATTTAGTTTAATTATTTTTATTTATAAATTTATCCATGAATTCTGAAGAAGCCAATGAAATTTTAGATAAAAGTATATTTAAATATGATATTGTAACCATTCAGTCTCGTTCAATAGAAAATTATATTTGAGATAATGCTAGTAATTTTTCCATAATAAAATTAAAATTTATGTTATGAAGTTACATTTCAAATTTCAAGATAAAGACACTTTATTTCAAAACTTTACAACTGCACAAAATAACAAAAATAATAAATAATAATAATTAATTATCATAATAACTAAATACTATAATAAAATTTACCCTTCTCACTTGTTGACCTAAAAATAAAATAAAAAAAAAAATAGATTTTTTCACATGATTATACCTCCAAGTAATTTACTGTCATTTATTTATCAAAAAAAATTTTTAATATAATATTTTTACAAATATTTCATTTTGAAATTTTCAAAAGTCCAAGGCATTATTATTGATTATTATTTTTACCATTGGTGTTAAAAAAAAGAATTCAAAAAAAAATTATTAATAATTGTTACATATAAAATTTATTATTTAATAATAAAATTGTAAATATAGTACTAATTAAACTTATAGCCAAAGATATAGAGCATCTCATATAAACTTTTTATATTATTTTCTTAAGAATTGAATTTAATATCAACAGCTGAACACTAAACATTTAAAAATTATTTTCTGGAATTTAATTGCTAATTATTTACTTAATTTTATTAAATATATCTGAGTACTTTATATTTTCAGCTTTAATGTTACTTAGTATCATTTTTATCAGTACTTTTTAAATAGAAAACTTTTATGAGGAAATGATTGATAATTATTTTCAGATATATATATATATATATATATATTAATATTTTTAATAAATTTCAACCGTTTCACTCTAAGTAAAGTCTAAATTTTAACTAGACACTATAAAAAGTGCTTCTAATTAAAGTTGCAAATATTATTTCTAGTTACAATTCCATATTTTTTGTCAATTTTATTTGAAGTGTAATTTCTCTATATATAGACATGTGCAAGATCACCCATTGTGTCACAATTAGCATTTTAAATTTGAAAAATCAGTTAATTTTAACACAGAACTGTTTGTTTTTGACTATTTACAACCTGTTTATAAGTTATTCATAAATATACTCATCAAAAATTTTGGTTTTCTTATTTGACCTGTGAAAAAAACTATAAACAAATTCTTTAGTTCTGGATTAGATGCTTCAAAGAGAAAATGTTGAAACTTATACCTCAATTTTTATTCTTTTTAACAACCTCAATCACATGATCCACATTACAATTGTTTTCTGTACAATATTAATTATATATACAAGAATTATTCACAATGGTAATGCAGATACGTAATCTACATACATCTCATGTCTGCAGATCACATCTGTATCATCTGATTATAAAAATCTATAAAAGGTAAATTTACAGCCACGTCCTAATCATAAATGAGCGTACTGTGCAACAAGCAATACATTACTTTCTTTTTGTTAAATAATAAAAAACTCGTTGACGTGCCAAATTTTAGATAATTTTAATAATTTTATTTCAAAGTTTTTATTTATAATAAACATCCTCCAATCGTATCTGTAAAAAAAAGATTTCTAAAGACTCATGTTTGCAGCCAATGATTCTGAAACTGAAATCTACTATGCTTCGGAATCACTACCCGATCTTGATAGTGAGCTAGAAGAAAATGTACAGGACGAAGATTTAGAGGCAGCTAATGACGCTGAGGACGATCTATCCCTTGGGAATAATTATAACGATTTTAATATAACGAATATGGAATTAGACGGTGATTACACTTCTGAAGACGAAGAACAACGTCCTCGTGTTTCAACGGCATACGGTTTTTTTCAACGTTTAGGAGCGCATGCTACTCGTCATCACCGTAGATCATCGTCACAGCGTATCCGTGGTTTTTCACCTTTAAGTTCAAGGGTAACTTTACGAAGGTCAAATGCAATTACTGCTTCTTTACTCACACAACATATAAAACATAATAGCGAACTTGGTTCAAAAACTATAAATGGAGTTGGGTCAAAAGAATTAGGACAATTTCATTTACCCGAATCTAGTTTTTTAAGGGCAGGAATGTCTTTTGCAGGAACTCAAAATCTAATGAATACACAACCATCACAAAGTAATGAAGAATGGGAAGTTAAAGTGGTAAATGTAAATTATTATATATTATTAAGAAGTTTTTTGTTAATTTTTTATCTGTTTAATTTAATAAATTAAATTTCCATTGCTTTTTTTTTTTGTGACTTCTTTTTTTTGATAGACGGTTCATTATGTAAATTATAAAACCGGAACTGCTATAGGTCTAATGGAAGCTTTGAATGTACCATCAAGTTCAAATACAGTTGTTACATATTGGGAAGGAGAAATGATTGATTTCGTTAATCATTCACTTTGGACAGACAAATGGAATTCTACTCCCGATATTGACCTTCAACATTGGAAAAAATTTGATGCATTTCGTCAGATGGATGTTCGAAGGTAATTAATATAATTAATATCTTAAAATGTTTATATAATTTTTTTATTTTTATTTTTATTTTGAATTTTTGAATTTTAAATAATTTAATTTTTTATTTTTAGTATACTTAGAGGGACTCCTTCTCGAGAATGGTTTCAGGAAGCCTGTCAAAAATACATATTTATGAGATGGAAAGGTAAATTTCATATTGTCATATTTATGATATTAATAAAATCAATAAAATTAATAATAACAATTATATTATTTTATATTCATATTAGAACATTATTTTGTCAATGTAACTGCTCAAGAGAGTGGGTTAACGATTGCCGGATTTTATTACATTTGTATTAGGAGGAGTGATGGAGCCATTGAAGGTTTAGTCAAAATCTTTTATTTTTGAATTTAATTAATTTTTATATTATTATTTAATCTAAATTTATTCTCTCTTTCTCTCTCTTTTCTTTTTCTAGGTTATTATTTCGATCCAGTATCAACGCCTTATCAAAAGTTAACTCTTAAGCCATTATTAGAAGGAAATGGAGTTTCATTCTGTGATTATAGTTTTAATTAAAAAAAAAAAAAAAAAAAAAAAAAAAAAAAGAAACAATCTATATAACACACATAACATACATTATTTTTGATATTCGATGTGTAGAAACAACAAAAAAATAATTAATTTTATTTCAATTTATATATTTATCCGTTTGATAAAAGTTTTTTCATTTGAAATATTTTATATTGTAATATATACATATATATATATATATATATTTGTTTAGCATAAATGTTTTTCCTTTCTCTTTCTTCCTTTTTTTTTTCTTTTCATTATGAACATTATTATTATCTATATCTTTAACATTACTATTAACATTATTAACATTACTAACACAACATTACTACCATTATTACCATCATTAACATTATTATATAGTGTTATCAATGGAAATATTTATCATTCACAAAATATCTTCTTTGATATATATATATATATATATATATGAAAAAATATAATAAATGGATTACTTATTCCATTTATTAATTTCATAATTTATATCTAAATATTTTCATCAATTGTTATATTATTATTACCATTATCATCATTATTATTATTATACTATTTTATTTTTTCTTTGTACAAATTTTATTTTTTATTTTTTTATTTTATTTTTTTTTTTTTTGATTAAAAAAGTTGAATATTTTTGATTTTACTTTTGATTATTTTGATTTTACTTTTAATATTTTAAAATTATTTTATTATTTTATTATTATCATTAATAAACAACAATTTAATTATTGCAATATAATATATTAAATCTATTTATATTTTTATTAGGATAATTTTTCATATGTAAAATGCGGATTCTATTCTGTCATACCAATTCCCCCTGCATTTTAGGAATTTCTCTTATTGAAAAATACAAAAATATTCCCACTTAATTCATATATATTTTACAAAATAATTATTGTTCTTATTTCCAAATTTATATTCACAATTCTTGTTAAATAAATTATTGTCTGTTCTCATTATTTTATTTTAAAAAAAAATTGACCTTTTTTATTATTTCAAAATAACTTATTTCGATTGGGATATTATCATCTTAATTTAAACGTTAATCAAAAACTTTTCGTGGTAAAATTTGATTTCTGTGCTACCATTCCAAACTTCTAATTACTTCTTAAATACTAGATAAAGTTTAAATCAACAATTCTACTCTATTCTATAATTATTCTATTTTAGTGTCTATTTTAACGTTAGTGTAACTTTGATCACCAGATTGAGCCAGATTGAGTAACACGTAAATTTTTTTTTTTGTGAATCCTTCTCGTCATATTATAATCGCGTCTCTCATGATTCATTATTTTACTGCTATATCTTTATTATTATTATTATAATCATCCTTTTTTTTTTTAATTATAGTTTTAATCATCAAAACCACTTTTTTTTATGAGAATATTGGTATAAATAATGTCTTTAGCATTTTCTATTGCGACTATAGTCCTGATCTCGGAATTTGTACTTTGGTTTGGGTATTCTTCACTCGCGAGTTTGGTAAGATCAATATCAAATTAGATAAAAAAAACAAGATCGTGATATATTAATAATACCTCGTTCCGATTCCTTAATTTCTGTTTTTTTTTTTTAATATTCATTTAATATACCTATTATTCACTAATTCTTTAGCTAAATTACTTTTTTACATTGAATTAATTGAATTGATATGTTGTTTACAATTTGAAGAGATATTATTAATCAAACCACTTTTATCTATTAAAATTTATACAGGTATATACCATTTATTTAAATACTTTTCAAAAAGAAATATTAATAAAGCAAAGAAAGATTAAAAAGGAAATATTAAATGTTAAACATGACTTGGCAAGAACCAGCTCACAGGTACTTTTACTGAATAAAGAAATAAACATAAATTATATGCGAATATACATAAATACATAAATGTACGAATTTTATATTTTAAAAATAATTATTTAATTAATCAGGATCAATTCGCTAAATGGGCTAAATTGAGACGAAAATTAGATAGCAAGTTATCCGAATTGGAAAAACTCAGTAATTATTAAAAAAATATCTTTTGTTTTATTTTTTATTTTTTTCGTTTTTTTTTTATATGTTTCTAATGTATTTATAATTAAACAAAATATATTTGTATTATAATTTTTTAGCAACATCTTTAGGCTTCTTAAAAACAACTTTTGAAATAAAATGTACTACATTTTTATGGGCAATTATAAATGGTTCACAAACCCTTATGGTTCTTTGGTATTTTTCTACTCCAGTATTTTATCTTCCGGATAAATGGTTTAGTCCTGTTACTTTCACGTTATCACTTCCATTTGCACCATCAGGTCGGATAAAATTTCAATATATATTTAAATCGAAATTTAATAATAATAAAAAAAAATCAAAATTGATATTATTAAAATTTTTTTTTCTTATTTTATAATATTTTAAAATAAAGGATCTGTAAGCGTTCTTGTTTGGTTTCTAGTATGTCGTAAAGTGTTAAAAAGGGTTATAATAACATGTAAAGATGCAGGCAAGTAAAATACAATAATTAATAGTAATATTTAATTATTGTAATTATATTATTATTTATTATTTATTATTATTATTATTATTATTTATAACAAATTAATGATAATTCTCAAATATATATAGTTCCAATATATCATAAATATGTTCCTGATATAGTAAAGAAGAATGTTACGGAATTCTTTCATTGGTGTAACAATAAATTAGGAATAAATTTACCATTTGTTGTAGAAGGTGTGTGTAAGTCCTAGACCAAGTTTCATTATTTGGTCCTGAATCATCAGATTCTTGGTTCTTCTTTTAACATAAAAAAAAATAAAAAAACAAGATGGATAAGACCTTGGTCCTTTATAAAAGGACTTTGGTTCAGAATCTGGACCCAGGATTTCTGGTCTTGTTTTAGAACAATTGTTGAGTTAATGTAGAATATTTAATAATCAAAAACTAAAACTCTTTGTTTTAGAAATTAAGTTGATAATGTTTACAAACAATATTTCTATATACAGTATTTTCATTAGAATGAATTGCTCTGGTGTGAGCATTTTTTTTTTCGATAATGACTTTAAATATTAGTTTAATTAGTGTGAATTAGTTGACATGAATTTATATAATATTTCAATCAATTACTCAAATTACTCGGATTTATTTTTGAATTAATAATTCAAATATTCAAAGAGTGTTAATTTTTTTTTTTATTATAAAAATTTTGATTGTTTAAATAATGAAAAATATCAGAACAATAATATATATCTATCTGTAAATCTCTTCGTTAAAGAAATATTTGAGTTCAATTAATTAATTAATTCAATAAAAATTTTTCCGATAATATTTCTACATAATTCTTAATAATCAATGGAGTTTTATCATCGAAAACTTTATTTAATGCAAATTTCATTTTATCGGTAATTCTGGGACAATGATATAAAAATTCTATAGCTTGAAGTTGAAGATCTTGTGGTAATGAAATAAATGATCCAAATAAAGGTTCTATAAATATTTTTAAATTAATAATTTTATTTCTGGATAATAACTTTTTATAAAAATATTTACTTTAAAGACATACCTTTATTATTATTGTTATTATTGTCATTATTATCACCCAATTCCTCGTAAAAGTATGGAACAAGAGAAATTTGTAATTGATCAAAAATCTATAATAAAAAAAATCATGTTAAAGAATTTTAAGAAAAAGAAAAAATAAGAATAAAAATAACAATATTACCTCTTCATTAAAAATACATTTACTTCCACGTTTTGCAAAACCACATAAAACATCTAAAATAACCTAAAGATAAAATAAAAATAAAAACCAATAATGTAAATATCTTTTTCATCACAAACTCTCATTAATCAACAAAATTACCTTGGTAGTTTCAAGGCTATTAATTTTCAATTCCTTTAATAAATTTGGTAAACCCAAAGCCCAAATTTGCAATGATGTGTCCAACGAAGAGTCAACTTGCATATTATTTAAAGAACCATTATAGTATGTAAAATTATAATTATTTGATATTAATATTTCTGATATAAAATTTATGCATATCCTTTTTGTGGTTGAATGAACATGACATTTTTTGGAATAATCTAAAATTGCCTTTAAAGTAAATTCTTATTGTTAGTTATTAATTAAAGAAAGAATTAAAAGGATTGAAATTAATAAGAAAATCAGGAAGATTAGTTAGGTTTACTTACTTCAAAAAGAATTTCTCGTTCTTCCTGACCCAAACACTTGAGTAAGATCCGTATAGTAAATAAAATTGCTCTTAAATTTTCGGGTTTTGTATCGGGTTTGAGTGTTTTGGTATTATAATTTCCTTTTTTATTTCCTTTGTAATTTCGCTATTTTTTTTTTTTAAGAAATCGAGTTGCCATTGTCATATTAACGTCAATAGTTATATATCGAAATAAACGAAATTACGAAACAGAATAATAAGTTATCATATTCACCTCAAATCCCAAAAAAGAGATAACATAATTAAAAATTTGGTCAATCCATATATCATTTGATTCGGAATCCTTATCTTGTTTATTATCTTGCTTCCGTTTTTTATCATTATGCGTTTGAGTAGATTTTTGTTCGATTAAATCATCATTACTATCATTATTTAACTTGAAATTTACTTTGCTAGAAAACGACAATGTTGTATAAAACATATACAAAGTCACAATTTCACAAAATATTATATTCGTTCCTTTTAGAATAGGTTCAATCTATTCAATATTATTAATTGTTAGAGATTGTCAGAGAGTGTTAGTAATTATTATTAGCTGTTTGTGATTGAAGAACCAATAAATTTCTTACTTTTGAATCCAGCGTACTCTCCGATTTAGAGCCAAACGGAAAATAAACGACAATATATTTAATCAACTGTTTTAAATTCACTTCAATCATTTGTCTATCCTCACTATTATTCTAATTTATAAAATTATTTATAAAATTAGCAAGAAAGAAATTACGGAAATTACAGAAATTACAAAATTACGTTATGCGAAATCTTTATTACAAACCTGATTTTTAATAACATTAGATAGATAAGAACGCCACAACAAATTCATTATTTTCAATATCAAATGAATAATTTGTAACGTTGGAAGCATTTTATAAGTCAAAGAATCAATTGTACTAAAAACCGATGGTACTGTATCTAACCATAGGGAAATAAGTACAGGATGTAAAATGTTCAATATATCCTGAGAAATTTTTTTTAAAAAAAAGAAAGAAAGTACGCATGAACATTTTATGCATCTTATATATTTTATACAATCTCAAGCCCAAGAAAATGAAAAGAAATGAAATTATCATCACCTTTGCACTAGCGATACGACCGTGTAAAGTCGTAGAATCATGATCAAAGATTTTATTATCTTTTCCCAAATAAATATTGTCTTGATTAATTTCTGTTGATGTCGAATTAAATAATTTTAATTGAGTGGAATTGTATTCCGTGTACGATATTGATAAGAATGGTAGAAGAGAGGATGTTAACGGATGTAGAGGGGAAATTTCTACCTATTTAGATTTAGATTATTAATTATTTTTGTTTTGATTATAATTCATCAATTCAATGCTACTTTAATGATTTGATATTTACTTCTCCATGAAGATCTGTCCAATTAACCAAAGTAGTTTGTCTCAAATCGTGAATGGGTTTCGTAGTTGAATGATCAACTGAAAATAAAAAATTCCAATTACTGTGTTATATAAAATAAAAAATAGTTAATTGATAATTCAGAAATATTGGAAATCTTTTAAATATAATATAATATTTTAATGGAAAAAAAATAAAATAATAATCATTACTTGTTGTTTTCATTGTTTTCACTTGTTAATCCAATTTTTAGAAGTTTATAAAAACTAGACAATATTTGAGTTCTTGTCTATGAAAAATTAAAATATAAAATATTAATAAATAAAAAATAAATATATTATAAAAATTAGACAATATTTACAATATTTGAGTTTTTGCCTATGAAAAATTAAAATATAAAATATAATAAATCCAATAAAATAATGTAACAAACATCGTGAGACCAAAATTGAAATTGTGCATTGATGGTAGATTGCTCTATTAAACCAGAGACAAAATTTGTGCTGGAGGATGAATTTGATTTAGAATTTAATAACGTGATATAATTTTGTATGACCTAATTAAAATAATTTAAAAATTTCGAGCTATATTAAAAAACATTAAAGAATATCACTTCAAATATCAATCCTTTCATATCTTTATTCATCATATTCTTCAATGATACTAAATTTACCAAGAATAATTACTTTTTGCCAAAATCCATTCACCACCACATCAGGTGCTACTGTTGTCCATATTTCCATAAATTTTATTGCATCTATCCTTATATCTTCATATATATGTGTCATAGCAGAACAAGTAAATATAATAAGGAGAGGAATAAAAGGTTTCAGATCTGACTACAAATAGGATAATTAATGATTAATATAACTAATATGATTTGATTTAAATATTAATTAAAATAACATTTTCATACTTTTTGTACATTTGGCATAAATTCCTTGAAGAATGATAACAAAGTTTTCCTAACAATTTTTTCCTAGAAATCAAAAGTATTCAAACTTTGAATGAATAAAATTAATGAAATTTCCAAAGAATCCAATATTTAAATTATATAAAAAAAATTATTCTTACATCATCAATGAGTAATCGTGCAAGTGAATTTATTATTACAGATAAAGATTCGGTCAATATGTGCGGATGTTTGTAGAGAAAGTCCTTGAGACCCTGAATAGCATCTAGAGTTACTTAGTAAATAATGTGTTTTATATGTCACGTGAACATTTGAGAAATAAAAATATAAATTTATCAACCTTTTCTAACTCCTGAATTATAATGCTTTAATTGAATTATAAGATCATTTAATGTTAAATTTCGAGAATTTGTTATTTCATTAGATTTATCTTCTATAATACTTTGGTTAGGCAAGATTATTGCTACATAAATAATAAATATATAATAAATATATAATACATATCTTCATTTTCGACATAAAAATAACTAATTTTTCTTACATTTTGACTTAAATGAAGTATCTGTGAAATTTGTAGGTTTTTGTTTCTTTTTTCCAACTTTAAGCTTCGATTTCTACATAGACATACGTGGATTACACATATATATTTATAGATATAGTAATTACGTGAATTCGAAACGATCTATAATTTATTTATAATACTTTAAAATCCTCTTGCTTTATCTTTTTTTTACGTTGACTTTTCTTCGGCATTGAATAAATTAGTAAGTTAAAAAAAAAAAATTGTAATTGATTACATGAATCTTTTTCATGAAGACAACTTTCTCACGTGGTCTAACATAAGTAATTTTTATTGGTCAATGCCTCTTTCAATAATAGTGAATAAATAATGATAATAATAATAATAATCTAATTTTATTAATTTTATTAATTGTAAGTCATGTATCTATAATTTTTAAGAAATATATGTGTGTATTAGTTAACCTTATTCTTGAAATAAATTAGAAACAAATTTTAACTTTAATTTAACATACCTTGGAGTTGAAGAGAATTTGGCATAAGACTATAATAACAAAATAATAATGAAAATATATTATAAATATTATTATTACTATTAATATATATTAATTCACAGAAAAAAAAAATTTATAAAATTTTTGTTATCACATACTTTGATGACTTTATTTACAGCTTCTAGGAAATCTTTCTCAGTCGCAACCTATAATTAATGTATATATAGCATAACTTTATATGAGAAACTGTAAAATATATATAAATATATTATTTTATTTCTGATTCAAATTGAAAAAATTACTAACCTTTCTCCTTGATCGAATCGCAAACATTCCGGCTTCAGTACATACACTTCGCAATTCAGCACCTACAAAATTGATTTCATAAGATTAATAATTTATAAATCAACGATTTTATAATATAAAATTTATATAAGTTTACGTACCAGTACTATTTGGACAAAGTCGAGCAATTAATTCATACCGAATATCACGTTCAACTGACATACTAAATTTCAATTGCAAAAAATATATTTAATGAATTAAATGTGTCGTGATATATATATATATATATAAATATTATATATTATATATATGAAAAAATTAATTATATTTACCTTTTTGCATGAATTTTTAATATATGTGTACGACCCTGCATCAAAAAAATTATAAGTTTTCATTATTAGAAATTGAATGCAAAATAATACAAAAATAAATGCATAATACCTCTAGTTCTGGAAGAGAAAACTCGACTTTACGGTCTAATCGTCCCGGACGCAAAAGTGCTGGATCCAAAGTATCAGGACTTTGAATAAAAAATAATTAAATGTGCAATTAAAAGAATTTAAAATGCGTAATTAATATAATTGATAAAAAAAAATTCAAATAAATTAACTAAAATAATAAAAAATGATAAAAGATATGTTTTATATACCGATTAGTAGCCATTAAAACTTTAATATTTCCTCGTGGATCAAAACCATCTAATTGATTAATTAATTCTAACATGGTTCTTTGTACTTCGTTATCACCTCCGGCACCATCGTCATAACGTGCACCTGAAAAATTAAACATACAAATATTAACATATCGAACATATATGATCATATATAATAATTATCATAATAATAAGTACCCCCTATGGCATCGATTTCGTCAAAAAAGATGATGCACGCTTTCTTGGTACGTGCCATTTCAAATAATTCACGGACCATACGTGCACCTTCACCTACATATCTAGTTTTTAAAAATATAAAGATTAATCAATGGTATTGAAGATATATTAGAAATAAAAAAAAAGAAATCATACTTTTGCACAAGTTCTGATCCAATAACACGAATGAATGTCGCATCGGTACGATTTGCAACTGCACGTGCACAAAGCGTTTTTCCAGTTCCTGGAGGTCCATATAATAAAACCCCCTTAGGAGGATCGATACCGAGATTGACAAATCTTTCGGGCTAGAGAGTATAGAATGTATTCAATAAACGTATTTTTTTATAATATTAAATGAATAAATAATAAATTCTTGATGTCTATACTGACTTGAAGCAATGGTAATTCGACCACTTCTCGGAGCTTTTCAATTTGTTCTTTACATCCACCAACATCACTATAAGTGACATCCGGTTTTTCCTCTACTTGCATCATTGTTACTGAAGGATCAATTTTAGGTGGTAATGGAATTTGAATTTGATATTTATTACGGTCGACTCTATATTTTTAATCATTTTATGAAATTCGATAATAAATTATGATTACTCCATACAGTAATAACTTAATTTCATAAGTTAATTATCTTAATATATTGAATATATTGTAAATTACCCAACCCGCATTCCTTCTTCAATGTCAGTCGGTGAAACACGTTCACCTAAAGCGACCACAAATTTGGCAATTTGTTTTACATTTATAACATATTTTGATTCTTCGCCTTCACCGGCTTGAATTATTTTAGTACAACGGGCAACCTACATTTAAAATAAATAAAATATTATTGAATCCATAAATATTAAATGAGTGAAATATGGATTACAGATTGTTACAATACCTGTAAAGGTTGTTCTTCTTGCATTCTTTGTTTATCTGCCGGAATATCCCAAAGATTTGGGGGTGCAAGACCAGTATCTGATTCTTTGATACCTGTTAAAATAATTCTCGTATTAATTCAATATCTTTTTAATCTATATATATATATATATATATATTCAACCGACATTCCTTTTTGTTAAACTTGCCTATTTTTTCATTTATCCTTTTTTGTATATCTTTAATATCGCTATCAATTTTCTTCAAATCATTTGCATATGGTCCTTGACCCTAAGAAAAAAAAAAGCGTGTCAATCTCCGCAATTTCGGATAGAATGGAATTAGATTTCACAAGATCTATTCCATAAACTTACATATGTCTTTAATAGTGCAATATCACCTTCGTCAAGGGCTATTTGAAAAAAAACACTCGATTAGATTGCACAATTGAACTGTTGAATAAAACTACAAAAAACAAACGTACCAACAATTTTTTCTTCTTCTTTGTCCTCAATCGGTTTTTCATCTATATAAATCATACAATATCAAGAAATTAGAATTTGAGATGCATCAACTATCCGACAAATTCCAAGATTATTTTACATTTTTCCCAACTTTCTTTAGGTGACATCCTGATTTTATCGTAATAAACTAAAGAACGTGTTAGAATTTTTATGAAAATCTACGATTTATCATGTGATATGCAGTGTAATCATAAAAATCAAAGAATATGGTTGGCTCAATCAGATATCATATGTAAAAAAGATTTATAAATTGCATGTGGACATTTTTTGGGGGGAGGGAACTCAAAAGTTAAGGCGCGACAATCTAATCGAAACGATTGTCCCCTCAATTATCCATCCATCCTATTTTATATAATGGCGAGTGTTGCAAGTCGAAATTTATTCGACCTACTTGTCGATAATGAAGAGGATGTCGAGTCTGTTATGCCAGAAAAGGAAACTACAAGGGAAGTTGTTGTTCAAAAAAAAGTAGATAGGTCTCGTGCAAGTCCTAAAGAAGCTAGAATTCGACACGAATATCCCCTACGTGGAGGGTTTAAAGCCTCTCCCGTTAATAACCGAAGCGAAGACACAAGATCTAGTGGTAAGGAATTGAATTCTTATTGCAACTTTATTAAAAAAAAATCCTTTACCTTGTGTAACTTTTACTGGCGCGATCTTCAAAAGACCTAATGTTATCATAAAGAATTTTATTATTTTAATTAATTCTTTAACGACAACTTCAAAAATAATGAAAAATAATCTACCCAAAAAGGAATTTCTTAAAATTCTTGCATTTAAGTTATAAAATTACAATTTTTTTTCACTTTCTTTATATCATTTATTTCATTTTGTTTTTTTGCTTGTTTTATTCTTTAATAGCACCTCGGGATAGAAACGTTGGTCCCCGATTTAATCGCGAAGGTGGGGATTTTCCTGGCAGAAGTTCACGTGGGGCTCGAACTGCTGAAAGAGGTCGTGGTGGCGGCCGAGGTGGTCGTCGCGGACGTGAACATGATCGTCATAGTAGCACAGGCAGATTGTAAATGACTGATTATTTATTTAATTTTGCATTGTTAGAATGAATTATTAATTATTAATTATTAATTATTGAACTTAATGCTTATTTACCATGTAAAATTTTATTATAAAAAAAAAAAAGTGACAGCGACAAAAAAGAAACTCAAGCTTGGGGGAACCCTTCCACTTCTTGGGAGAATAATGAGCAAACTGAGTCAACTGTACCTGATCCCAACGTCACTTCCAGCTGGGGTGGTAATGGAACTACAGAAAATTCAGGTGATGCTACTGAAGCCAAAAGTGGATGGAACGCTGATAATGAAACAACTACTAAATCAGGCTGGGATGCCCCTGATGAATCTCCTACGAGTTTAGAAGCAGCTGTTGGAGGTGGTGAAATTGTTCCACCTGCAGATTGGGAAGAAAGTAAAGGTGAGCAACCTGCCTGGGAAGCCAAAGAAGACGAAACTGCTAATGAAGAACCTGCTCCTATTGTCGAAGAGGAGGTAAAAACTTTTGATGAATACCTTGCCGAGAAAGCTCAAAAATCTCTCGATATTTCTCTACCCGAAGTTAGAAGAGCAAATGAGGGAGCTGATGATTCCCAATGGAAAGATGCTGTTCCTCTAGAAAAAGATGACGAAGAAGACATGCTTTTTGCTGGAAAAGTAAATAAATTTATTAAATTTATTATGAATAGTATTTTAAATATTTGAAATATTAATATTATTAATCGCATTTTTTCAGGAGCACTCAACTAGACTCAAATCTAAAAAGTCCAAAGCTAAAAACTATCTTGAAATCGAACAAACTTTTATCGAAAGATCTGGAGGTAGTTTTCCACGTGGTGGTCGTGGACGTGGGCGTGGTTCTCGAGGTGGAGGAAGACGTGATCAAGATGTTGGCGGTGGTGGTGGTGGTGGTGGTCGTCGTGGTGGTCGTGGAGGTTATGTTAACCTTGATGATCAAAGAGCATTTCCGAGCCTTGGTGCTGCGTAGGAATAATTAAAGTTGGGAATAAATTAAAGAACAATAACTCAAATTCCCAAAAGCTTTAATGGACAATATGATTTTATTTTTATTATCAACTTTTTTTATTTGATATTGTTATATATTTCTAAAAATATTATCACTAAATATGTAAACCTAAATCTGTAAAGTGAATCGGTGTCTTTCATTAGTAAAAAAAGCAATGCTGCATTAAATTTATTAAATTAACCAAAAAAATCGAACATCTAAGTTAATGTATAAAATGCATCGTTTAAAAAATGTTTATAAAATATGTATTGTTATTTTCACGCATTCATGCAAATTTATATTTCGATTTTCAACAAACTGATGGGATCATTGTGTACCGGGGAATAGGGTAAGGTGTTTCCAAAATAATTTGAATTATTGCATGAATTTCTGTATATTTTTTTTATTAAATACTATAATTTTGTTTGTTTTCTTTTAAATAAAATGCACGCAAATGATGTATCAAAAAAAACTATTCAAGACTACATAAACAATGTAAATATAAATGTTAATATGTTAATATAAATGCAAACTATAAAAACAAATATATTTCCCCAATTCATCCCCTTTTACATTTTTAAAATAAATAAATATGGTTTGAAACCAAATAACTTCTTATCAGCAAAAGCTCAATCAGCTTTAAGAAATCTTAATCATAGTATAGATAATGAAATTAAATCTGAAATTATGTTGCATAACAATAAAAAAAAGAGTTGAAGAGTGTAAAATATCTTTTAAGATCTGAATTTCTTTGTGAGAGGTTGATGTCCATTTGAATTATTTAAATATGAATTGGTTGGACTATAAAATAATTGAATATTAAAATTAGCATTAATTAAATTAATAAAAATTAAATTAAAATAAAATTTACCTAATATTTAACCTTTTTATCCCAATGCACTGACTAAGATTTGAATTCCTTTGATATACTTCCCGATTTACTTGTTGTACTTTTTGATTTGATGTAACATTTGTAGAATTAGAATTTTTTGAGTTCTTAAGTTGCCATTGGGGTGGTCCTTCATTTGATAGAATTGATGCAATGGTATCTTGTGATTCAATTTGAGGCAAAAAATAATCATCATAATCTGGTTCTAATTTATATATATATATAAAATAAGATTAATTGATTGATATTAATTATAAATTTGATATTAAATTCTTACCTGATTGATCATATGATTGATCATTCTCTTTTGGACTTAAATATTCAAAATTGCTATTTCAAAAATTAAATATTAGGCATAATAAAAAAAATATTATAAGCAAAAAAATATATATTTACTTTTCAAAATCAGAACCAAACTCAAGTTCCGCAGAAAGATAATGATTATTTTGACGATCCCACTCTGTTTTTTAAAAAAGTTAAAAAAATTAACTTTTGATAACACATTTAAATACAATTCATAAAATTATAACATTATTTCACCTTCAAACATATTAGCAATTTCCTCTTTTGTATATTCACGCGATTTATCTATAATATAAAAATATAACTTTAGTAACATAATATAAAAATTTAAAATCATTCAAACTTATATAAGAACCTTTAATATTTGAAAATGAACTGGTATTGCTTTGAGGCACTGATGAATTCTCTATTGCAGCATTATTCGTATTACTTTTTTGGTTTTTTTGGTTATTTTCGTGTGAACTGCATACGGTATTCACGGTATTCACATTATTCACATTTTCTTTTTTAGAAACTTGAATAAAGGCACATGTTCCATTGTTTTCGGTAGTTGTATTATTATTTAAACAGGTATTTTGGTGATTACTCTGATTAGAAACTTGTTTTAATATATTATCTTTAGAAAATGTAGATTGGGATGGATGTGATGATTGTCCTGAAGGTAATGACGACTGTGATGGCTGTGAGGGAACAGAATTGGATATATTATTATTTTGAGTTGTATTTGTTAATTGTGACTGTGATGATTGTCCTGAAGGTAATGATGACTTTGGTGGCTGTGAGGGAACAGAATTGGATACATTATTTTGAGTTGTATTTGTTAATTGTGACTGTGATTGTTGTCCTGAAGGTAATGATGACTTTGGTGGTTGTGAGGGAACAGAATTAGACACATTATTTTGAATTGTATTTATTAATTGTGCCTCATTAGATGCAGTTGAGAATTCAGGTGCTCGATATGAGTTATTAATATTGAATTTGATCTTATAATGAAATAAAATTAACATTAATATATAAAAATAAAAATAAAAAAATAATTTACTGAATTAATTTATTACTTACGGGAGACACCTTTAACTTTGTGACTTGATTGGTATAATCTTTATTGTATAAGCAATTACCTAGCACATTTCCAAAATTTTTCAATGTCCTTTTTAACGCATCAGTGACTGCTTCTTTTCTAGCCTAATTGGAAATTTAAAATTTATATTATTTAATATTTATGACATTACTTTCGTTATTTTATAAATAATCTTTATTTACCTTCTCAAAGGCCTGGGCTTTCATTCGTATGTTTTCAGCTGATCCATATCCAGTATCCTGTTATTAAATAATAGAAAATATAAGAAATATAATAGAAATATAAGAAATTATAATAGAAATTATAATAAAAAATATAAAAAATATAAGAAAAATATAATAGAAAACATAAGAAAATATAAGAAAATATAATAGAATATATAATAGAATATAATTGAATGTATAAGAAATTTCTATAGTTTCTATGCAAATATAAACAAAATAAACAAAATTAAGACATTATATTTATTTAATTACCATGTGATATGAACCATCCTTTAAGATAACTTTGGTGGTAGCAGAGGCACCAACTGAGTACTTTCCAGCCTCACAGTCAACCTATTTATTATAATAATTTTAATTAATATAATATTTACCATTTTATTATTAATGTTAATACATACATAATCTACGGTTATATCTTCAACACTGGAAGACCATCCATTAAAGCCAAATACTTTATTGGCTATACTAATTACTTTCCATGCCTCAATATATGCCAATTTTCCAGCTATTTTTTTTTTAAAAAAAAAGTTATAAATTTCAATATAACTCGTTCATTTACAAGATCTAATTTATAAAATTAACTTTATTCGATTTAAATTATAATTGCCTCCATAAGGTCCGGGACGTGTACTTAAAAATTCGGGTCCCAATTGTTTGTCTAGGGTCGCTTGGATTACTTCGAATTCATCAGGAGTGAAAGATTTATTGCCCCAAAATGTTTCCTCAGGGTTTTTTTTTTGCATTTGATTGCGTGAATCAAGATTTGTTCTACCGTTGGAAATCATGCTATGTGAGAGTAAATAACTTTTGGGTTACGATATTAAAAGATAGTATAAAATTCGAATCTTAAAGAGTTTTGGTGAGAGTCTTAAAGAGAGTAAATTCCAAGAGTTAAGTGGAACACGCATACACGCGTAATAAATGTTGATCACCTAAATAAAGTTAGCATTGATAGTTTTATAGTAAATTTGATTGGTCAGATAAATTTGGCAGATAATTATTAAACGTCATCAATCTAATTTTTTTTTTCCTACTTTTTAAATTTCCTAAAAATGTATGTTGAACGTTTTTTACAACGAACAATTCCAACAACCATTGCTCCTTTTTCCAAATCACATATCGTAAGCTTCATTCAAAGCTTAATTTGGTTTAAATTATTTTTAAATTTTTTTATGTTGAAAATTTTATAGCTTCCAGTATCACGTATCGGTATACGTTTTTTGAAAACCAAACCTTCTACACGTAATTCCTCAGCAGATAAAACAAATTCTTCCACAAGAAAAACTCCAGCAAACAAAACTGGTGATGTAATTCCACCTACAGCTCCTCCTTTTGTTTATAAACCTCCTGCATTAGGTGTTAACCCTGCTTATGATGAGGCACTTAAATATATTGCTGAAGACAAAGCAAAAAAATATCAGGAGATCGAAGAGATCGAGCAAATCATAAAAATGAAAATTAATCAAGGTTAATATTTTAACAATTCATTTTTAAAGTTATATCTTTCAAAAATTTATTTTATCCTCACAATATTTTTTTTATAAAAGGAGTTCACCCTAATGATGAATCAATAAAAGAATTCGAAAAAGAAATATACGATTTAGCGGTTTACGCTGAAGCGAATGATCCCGAAATTCGATGGAATTTTGAACACGGGAAAAGTATGTATGTATGTAACCAAAATTCATTAACACGTGACATAACGTAATTTATAATAAATTCTTTTTTTAGTCGACATGACTAAACCAATATATCGATTTTTACGAGAGAAACAATGGAAGAATGGCTATAACCAACATTTAGTAATTTATTATAAAACAAAGGAAATTTATCTTTAAAATTTAGTATATATCATTTCCCAAAATTTATTTGTTTGAATTTATAGATGGAACGTATAAATCAAATGTTTGTTGTTCCAGACGTCTTCCCTCTTGTAAAGAATCTTACAATTGATCTTCAATTTAAATTCGAGAGTGACATAGTGGAACCCGGAATTTTTCTGAAACCTATAAACGTAGTTTTTAATAATTATTTATGAAATCTTTTTGCATTTATAATAATGAGAAATGATACTTAATATATTTTAATATAAGACTATAGATCCTCCAACTATGATAATGACTAATTACCATGTAGATACACGACTTTACACGCTTTTTATGGTCGATCCAGGTTGGTATCTATATGTGATATCTACATGTGATTATTTGATTATCAAATATTCATCAAAGATATTTCAACAGATATTAATTGAATTATATGTCATTCAGATATGCCGGATGTGACGCAAAAGACTTTTAAGACAGAATGGCACTGGTTGGTGTAAGTTCAATTCATCGTGATTATAATTTATTCATTTTATTTTATTCTCTATTCTTATCATTTTATGTCATTGTTTTATTTTAATATTAATGACAGAATTAATATTCCCCTTATGGCTACAAAAAATGATATGTCCGGAGGTGAAACTCTTTTACCCTACGTGCCACCACATCCACCTAAAGGAACAAAATATCATCGATATACTTTTGGTGTTTATGAACAAACTCAAGGTAAAATTGAAAAAGAAGATTTAGATCTTTCTATAGAACATCCTCAATTGGTAGAACAATATCAATTGAAATTATGTGGAACTTCATTCTTCCGTGAGATATGGGATGAGACCGTTAGTGATATTTATAGAGATATTTTAAGTGAGTAAAATTATTTATTTTAAACTATTGGGATTTATAATTTTATCAAATATTGTATATAAATATATCATATAAAAAATATATGTAAATTATTAACATAATAATTTTTTATTATTAAAGAAATTCGTGAACCTATTTATGCTAAGCCACCTAAAGAGGATCCTTATCTCGAAGTGGCTACTGGAAAGAAACGATCAGCGAAATATTTAGAAACTTTAAATGATCAACTTTTCGTAAAAGATAAGTTCGATGATAATAGTGTATAATTCGATAGAATATATATTAATTTAATTTTAAAGCCTCGGACTCTACTTAATTTATTTAATCAATTTTGAAATTTGTATGGATTTTAGAATTTTATTAAATTTATATGAATGTCAAAGTAATAAAACTAATTATTTATAAAATTATTTATAAAATCATATACAATTATGCAATAAATGATAGTTTTTGATGGTAATTTTTGAGCGAGAATATCTATCTATCTCTAGAGAATTAAAGAATCAGTGTAATTTGATTTGAGAATTAAAGAATCAGTGTAATTTGATTTGAGAATTAAAGAATCAGTGTAATTTGATTTGAGAATTAAAGAATCAG